TCACCGATTTGCGTGCCAATTTTCTCGTGTCGAAAATATAGCAATATGGGTGTCCTTTCCTACCAAAATGGGTACCCCGGACGCGTTGGCGCAATCCAATTTGTCGTCGGAGGTCATTCGGAGAAGTTCGCATTTTCACCCGTCCTTTGGGCTTAATTGAAATCCGATTTCGTGCAAATTCGTGAACTTCGTGTACTTTGTGTGTGTACGTGACGAAAAAGTCGTGACGAATGTTTTCCTAAGACTTGAAGTCCTATTTGGAACATTTTCCTTAAATCTTCGCAAAATAGCCCATAACCGCTCGTTCATAAGACGATGGTCTTGTGCCAAAGATGCTAGACATCAAAGGAAAATAGGAATTGACTGGAATTTCTAGAAGGGTGAGTCTCAATTCTAGTTTTCTAAGATGGTCCATAGGAATTTCTAGAGCTAAAACCTAGGCTCTAAGGAGGAGAAGAAAAGACCTTGCAAAAATGAGGTCAACACCCCTTTCAATGTTAACATTGATATCCTCATTATCATTATCATTAAAAGTCATTTTTTCATCTTCAACCTCGAAATTTTCATCATTCTTGGTCGTTATCCATTTATCATCACACCTAATATTATCAGCAGTCAAATGATTTATTTCATCACCACCATTGGTTTTTTGTTTTGTAGCTTTAGGTGTCTATCTTTCAAAATTTTTTGTTGAACATTACATAAACTAACTTGCTCATTTGACCTGTAGCCAATCAATTTCTTCTCTTTGTATGTAATTGTTTGAATATGCTCCAATTATGCGGAAGCTAAACAAGTAAGATTAAAAACTTTCACAACAAACACTTTGTGTTTAGGCACATCATCTTCGAATTATGGCCACATTCTAGCATAAGATTAAATGAAAGTAGCAATATATATTAAGATGATAACTTTACATAAAAATAATATGCTTAGATTTAAAATTATAAATAAATGAAATTTATCAGATGAGCGAGTCTTCTAACATGCTTGAGTTGTTCTAAATCCAAACATTTAATTCTTGAAACTGATCATTAATATTAAGATAATCAGACTCAAGGACAATTCTATCCTTGCATGCATATAAAATGGTCTTAACTTATTTATCTACATGAAAGTTTTTGTCATAATGAAATTGAGAATTCAAATAATATAAAATAACGTGTAAATGTTGATGTTGCCGACGATCCCATTTCTCATCAATAATTTCCCATATTTTTTTGTAAGATCTTCTTGTCCTCTTAAATCTTTTACTATTTTCTTTTTTTCTTTGTTCATAACTTCATAAGTAAATCCTATAGCAAGAACCCTCTCACTATCAACCATTCGTAAAACTTTCAGTAATGGCCTTATACACTCAAAGCATAACTAATACTGCACTAATTTTGAAAATGAATCATCTCAAATAATAATCTTCTTCATTTGCTTTCCTTCAAATTTTTTTGCCCAAGTACTTTTATTTCTTTATTCAGTAGCAAACATAACCTCCAAAGGTTGTCGTAGCTTTTTAAATCCTTTGAAAGTCAAATAAGCGTTGACAAATCTTGTAATTACTAGTCGGATAAGCTCTTCAGCTGTGAATTTCCTCATGAAGCTTAGTATCCAAGATCAATTGTAAATAAATTTACTTATTGTTTTTGTTTTAAGCAAAATAGATTTATGTTGTGACAATTATATCAACTGTTCAAGCATTAAATCAAGATAATGAACAACACAAGAAGTACAATAACTTGAACAACCAAGCTCTCCCCAACTTCCTTAGGAACCTCATCAATTATTTTAAATAACAATTGGCCATCTTTTATAAAGGTTGATACATCGACAAATTTCAAAAATACTATTACATTAGGGTTGTTAATAATAAAATTTATAATACTTTTTTGCCTAATATTTGATCAACCATCTGACATTATTGTAACTCCTGTTTCAACCGATGTCATCTTCCCTTCATCAATTATTTTTTTTTGTTTGTCTGACATCCTTATCTAACATCCAAGCTTGCAGCTCATACGTGCTAGGAAGATTCAATCCTCATTTAGAATTCCCAACAGAGCGAAGCATGTTAATCCATGAAGGATTTCTAAGCACATTAAAAAGAATTTGATTCTCATAAAAGCATTTTGCAATATCCAACCACACTCTATTTCCGTGTTCTTGTGCAAAACTAAAGGAGGAACCAGTTGAGCTTAATATTCTCATTTTCATCCACATTCACTATAAATCTATTCATTGGTCCTTGAGTTCCTCTATTAGAAGAATGCGAATGACTTCTGCTGCTAGATTGCCAAATTTAGACTTAAATAAGAACTACTCTCAATCATCTTTTCAATATTTCTTTGCACCATTTCTTTTGAGGTGATATAATTTTTTGCAATATTTAGCACTCCTTGACTTTATTTGACACCTTCTCATTTGCTCCAACATTTAAATGTGTGCAAGCTAAGTGATCTTTAAGCCTCTTCACACCACATGTAATTCACTTATCATAAAATTTACATTTCAAATGAACATCCATTTTTGCTCATTCTCTCTTCACCTCAACTTGAATCCCATATTTCCAAACTGGATCTTTTCCATTCAAACTAAAAAAAAAGGTTACACCTAATTGCCTATAAAATTGAATCAATGAATAAATAACGAGTCAATGACATTCATAAAGCCAATCCCTATGAACTTGAAGTTTTGAGGAATTGCATATTTGCAATTGTAATTAAGAAGGCTATATATACATACTACTACTTATTAATTTTCATATATAACACCCTAAACTTTAATAAGAAGTGGGTGATATGTATGTAAATGAGTAAATACCCCTAAAATTGATTTAAACATATTTAGAAGTCTAATAATTTAATACTGTAACGTACATATACTTATAACAGACATTTACATACATAACACCTAATTTTTCGACGCTCTGGACACAAAAGGCTTGGGACAGAAGTCGATGCAGATGTTGTACTTCTACAATGGAAGGGACGCAGAAGACGATGACTCGGGATGCATAAGACGCGGAAGCTTTCAACTGGACTTCGACGCTTGAGACATAGAAGGTTCGTGACGAAGAAGACGTAAAAGCTTTTGATGCTAGAATTTAAAGATCTGTACTGTGTTGAACTTCGACAATCAAACGTTTCTTTGACATAGATGCGCTCGAAGGCTGTGGTCGAAGTGCAAGGAAGAAGAAGCGAAGCTCTCGAAACAATGCTCTAGCTTTAATTTGTGAGATATGGCCAACGTGTTTCGATGCATCATATTATTCGAGGCATAAACGCCTGGAGGCATATGCCTCACTGCTGAAAGGCTAGAGCATTGTTTTTGCATGATTCCTTATTTAGATTTATTAGGTTGTCATCTGAGTTTTTTTTTTCTTTTATTCTACTAGATTGCCGTAAAATTGATAAATTTTTATTATTTTTGCACCTTTTTTGATCAACTTTAAGTTACCTTTTTGTAAAGGGGAAGGTTTCCTTTTTGCAGGAGACCTAACCGAAGACATTTACTACGGTTCACCCAGCTGCCTTGAGAGGCAGTTTTTTGGTATTTGACAAGCTTGCTGGGTGAGCCAGAGCAAACGAATGTCTCCGATCATGGAAGCAACTTAGTCCATTTTTTTCTTGGATTCCTTGCCTTACCTATGTTGTACTTTTTTGATATGAAACTTGACCGGATTGTTGATTGATTGTGGATGATACTTTAATTGCTAAATGTTGTTTTTTTATTTATTCTCAGATATGGAAGACTTGTGTTCTTCTTTGACTGATCTTACTATTGCTGAACTTAAAGACCCCAGTGCTGCATTCCTGGTAGAAAGGCCTACTGTAAATTCTGATGAAACATCTGCTTCCATTGTTTTGCATGGTTCGGATCTTGATTTTGGTAGATCTATTTCTGAAAATTTGTCATCAACGAACAATCAGAAGGAACCAGATATAAAGGATTTAGCTTGTTTTCAGTTTTGCTCGAAAAACCAGTCCTTTTCATTTCCTTCAGCACAAGAGGTTAGTATTGTAAAAACTAAATTTCTTGAGGATGCTACTTGCTACATATAAGCCCTATGTTTTCTGAAAATCATCTGCCTTCTTTTTTTAATGAATCTCTTATGTCCTCCTTGACTTTGCGTATGAAAAGTTTGTTTGCTTGGGGAAGAGCTAGTCAATGCTGGAATTAAAAAAAAAAAAGAGTTAAATTTAAAAAGCCTATTTGGAAAAATGCTTATATTTGCAGGTGCAATATTAATTTCTTGGAAGATATACATACATACCACACAGTTCCTATGTATTTATTTATCCAAAACCTTGATTTTTATATTTATAACTGTTTACTCGTGCTTTATAAGGTGTATTTCACTTTTTAAAAATTAGTAAGTGTGATATTTTTTATGTAACATGAAAGATTTGAGTCTTATAATTGTAAAATAAAATATTTGGTGTTAGATATATGATACATTAAAATTGTGTTTATGTATGTAGATGCCCCTAATTTCTATTTTAACTATTGTACTATTTTGTCGGTTTCTTTTTCAATAAAATATGTTTCTCTCTTTCTATTTTTGTATACAGCACATGATTTTTTTCAATAAAATCTCTGCATTACACCTTCATCTTCATATTCTTTATTTGGTGCCATGTTCACAGTTTTCCTATTAGCACCACTATTTGCTGATGTTTTTGTTTGTTAGAATGCAGATGTTATCCGGGTTACTATGCTGTCTAATCGATCCAGGAATATTATTAAAGCTGGTGCGCCCGTAGCAAAGTACTTCCCAGGTGCAATTATTATTATAGTGTGACAAATTATTATATGTGAACCGTATACTGCGAACTTACAAGCTTCCCATCTCAGTAACTCTGATCGATTTTTTTCAGTAGCCGAACCTGCAAGTTGTGCATATGCTAATTTCATGCTAGATGTGCTTTGTTATTCTTCAAAACAATGTTCGGTTGCTTCTGCTATCTCCAAATTGGTTGTGCCTGGTTTGATTGACCAGTTAATAACAATGAAGGATGCAATCTCACCACATCTTTTAACACAGCATCCTCAGGTAACATGATCTCTATGACACCATCAACATAAGTATTTCGTTGAAAATGTAGATTGAGCTTCTATTATGCGGTAGATAATGTTCACAGTTTTTTATCATTTTCGTAGGGACCTACCTCTTAAAGTTGTTGTATTTTTTGTCTGTGCGTAGGGTTGGTTGATGTTTAGCAGCTTTTCCCTTTAATAAAAACACAGTGTATGGCTTACATATTTGCAGAATTGAGCAGAGTATCTCAAACATAGAAGGTTCGCTTTAGAGGCTTTTGGCATTTCTTTTTGAGCTTGCTTCTCGAATGCATTTTTTCTCCGAAGATTGGTGTGGGCGTGGGTGGTTGTAGAGGATTCAAGAGGCGAAAATCTAGAACCCTAAGATATGGTGGGAATGAGTAAACTCGTTTTAAATACATTATACAAATAAGTTATTTTGTGAAGCCCCTAATGAATGTTTGTTGCAGGTAAGATAGTTGATGTTTAAAAAATTTCTATTTCTTGGAATCCTTTCTTAAATACAAATGTTAGTAAGGGAGGCAATTGCTCATTTTATCTAGGTTATTAGCTTAATAAATCCTGTAATTATTTATAAGTTTTGACGTCTTTTGTTATTTAAGCTTATGTGATGTGATGACTTCATTTAACATATAATTTTTTTTATTTCCTTGTATGCTTAAGGTTTCACTTGAGCTGACTTACGCTTTTGTGCTTTTTCTATTAAGTTTCTTTGTCAACTATAGTTTCTGTTGAAAATAGGTATGGGGAGGAAAAATTACTTGATTAACATGTAGGATGCATATGAAGATTCTCTCCTATTTTAAAAACTTAGCAAATGTATCTAGTTTAAATTAGGAAATGAAATAATTCTGAAATAAAAAAAATAAAGAAAAGCAAAATAGGAAGGGAATAAAACTAAAAAAGGAGTTTCCAAAGATATCTCCAATCAAATCTCTTCATGATTTTGTGAAGCAGCCGATCGACCCATCATGAAGAGGAGCCGAACTTCTCAGCTTTCCATACTCCCCCTCAAACTGGGTCATAGATGTTGTAGAGACCAAGCTTGGTATTGAGCTTTGAGAAGGTGTCTAAAGGAAGAGCTTTGGTAAAGAAATCAACAACTTGCTAGTGTGTAGGCATGTAGCTTAGTTGTTTAAATCTACCATTAGCTTTTTTAGAGATAAAGTACCTATCTATTTCAATATGTTTGGTCTAGTCATGATGTATTAGATTCTTGGCAATAACTATGCTGCTTTACTTCACAAAACATCTGTATAGGCCTATTAGAGGTGCACCCCAATTCCTTTAATAAGATTCTTAAGACGAGTGTCTTTTTACTCTGATTCATCACTTCTTTTAGAGACGTAGTTCTCCATGTATTCAAATTTCTCCATACATAGAAGGTCCACCATTCAGTGAGTTTCCTAGACCAACTTGCATCAATATAGACTTCTACCTCCTATTTTTGGTTTTCTAAAAAAATAATCCATAATCCGAAGTCATATTGAGAAATCATAGAACCTTGTATACCTATACCATCTCCAAATGCTCTTCATTTGGATTATTCATGTGTTGACTCACAATGCTGACAGAGTGTTGACCTCATTTTTAGTGAGGTCTAGTCTTCCTCTTAGGGTTTAGGATCTAGCCTTAGGGATCTCCCTTTGACTATCTTAGAACCTTAGAAGTGGTGCCCGCCTCGTTTTAATTCGACCTATTTCCGTCCTCTTTTGTGGTTCCAAGTGTGTGGTATCGACTTCTAGCATTTAGAAGGGTGAAACCAACATGAGGAAACCCAAAAGGGATCCCTATAGGACCTTTTTGAGCCTTAGGGTGGCCTTCTGCACAATTCACACTCCTGCGCGCACCAGCTTCGCGATTCGGAGAGTCGACGCGTCCGATTGCTGCAATTCGCATTGACTGCACCGTTATTTGTCGG